AAGGGGGGGTGCTTGAGGGCGCACGGCGGGTGTGGTGGCGAACGGCGCTGCAGTACGGCGCAGTACGGTGCGGTATGGCGCAGTACGGCGTGGTACGGTGCAGTGCGGCGTGCGGCTCGAGTGGCCCATCGAAGGTACCGTCTGTCGCTCCTTCGACTGGTTTAGTAGCCGCGGCAACACAGCGTGGCCGCGCTTGCAAACAATCAAGGCGCGAATCTGAACCTCAGCCGCACCGCACTGAATCGCGCACCGGACCGCTTTTGGACCGGCTCGCGTCGAACATGTCGATTATCGTGCAGGGAAAGCTTGGCTTCAGGAATTGAAGACGAACAAGAACTCCTCGTCGAGCCGTCCCCATAAATACTGCACTTAATATTATTAGGACAGCAATATTATTAAAGAGCCCAATCAGTATATAACAAGTGCATAAGTACATAAGCACATAAGTGCATTGTGTGTCAATCATGTCATACAAACAGAGCTGCTGGTATGACTTAATTGACATATTATGTGACGCGTTACAAGCTAGTTGGTAACTCGGGGCAAGCAACGGCCGGTGGCTGCGCCGCTCTGTCCGTGGGGGCCGACTACTTCCATGTCACAGCGGGCCAAGTGGTTCACAACGACTTCGGGATCTTCTCCATGCTGCCAGGGCGAGTGCTCCCTCTCGAGTCACCTGCGATGAGTCATCGCAGGTGTTGTCGATGTTGGGTGAAGATCCTCTGAGCTGCTGCCGCATTTGTGCGCATTTCTCTGCCCGGCGCGGGTCGTTTTCGCTCGACGTGGCATTTGGAGGAGCCCCAGGAGTAGGGAAGCTGCCTGACTGGCCTTCTGCATCTCACTGTATGTGGTGTCACACATTTCAGAATCAGAAAGCGGCTGGCTGCCCTAGGAGAACGGCCATACGCCACTGAAAAAGTAATTACATTTGGGCAAACGGCCGATTGTTTTGTGGTCGCGCCAGCGTCGCTATTCCACCTCAACGCTGACGCGAATGGCACTGCGGGGCAATGAGAGCAACTGAGTGAGACGGCGCTCCGCTGAGTTCTCTGGCCGTGTTTGAGCGCTCCTGAACTGCCGACTGAGCCCAAGCGCGGTGGCCGGGCGTTGGGCACATCGGTTGCGTCGGCCTGTGCTTCCCCACTGCCGCAATTCGAACGCCGGCAGCGGCGATGCACCAAACAGCGCACTGGAACACACACCCGAGCCTGTCGTGCCAAAATTGGAAGTCAGTCGCCGCGGGCTGGGATCCCATCGAACAAAGCATGTCCTTTGAGGTTGGTTGCCATGTGCGTTTTCAATGTTGTGAAGTTGGTACTTCAAGCCACCATCTTCGCGACAAAGCTCTGGAAAGTCACAGCTTTCCATTGTTGATGCTGTCGCCTGTGCAATGCGCCTTTTTGCTGCCTCTGGAATACTGCCCCAATTCTTGGGATAAATTTCTGCGCCCGCGAACAAAAAGCTTCTGCGCCCACTCCTTAGATCGAGGGGCCCAAAGCTGTTAATATTCACGACACAGAATCAGTACCCATTGCCCCTTTTTTGCTCCGTGCAGGGGTCCCTGTCAGCAGGCACTGAAACTGGGGAATTGAATCATCGCGCATTTTGGTGGGTATCCCAGTTTGAATGCTCCACTGCATTGCCTACTTGCATAGTTCATCGACTAATGCTGGAATCGCCTCTATTTGACTGTATCGCCGTTTCCCACCAGCGCAAGGCGGTGACAAAACTGGTGCACGTCATAGAGGAAGGTGGCAGCCAAGAGCCAGAACTGCTGCACAGGCACCACATTTGAGAGCCTGCTTTCAAACAGCATGAAACCTACCCGGTGGTGCGGCCCGTTTTCGTTTCCCTGCGGGCCGCTGCTTCCACATCGCGCTACCCTGCGCTTCTCACTTCCTTCAAAATGGAAGCAAGCCGGCACTGGCTTCTTTACAAAACGCAGCAAAACACCACCAAAACTAAACCAGTGCCACGCCACCCAAATTCCCCGTTCTGCCGCCACCGCCTCCCACTTCACCTGTCTCAAGGGTCACAAATTTTTGACTCCAAAACTGTCAGCCTCCCGCATCATGTCTGTATGCAGCGTCACGCTCTCCTTCTTGCCGACTCGCGCTGGTGGGATACCACTGCGAGAGCTCCTGCATCCCCTGCGCTCCCATGGCGGTGCTCGAGCGAAGTCAGCGAACTGTGGTGAACACCACTGAGGGCGCACAGATGTGATCTTGAACTTTATCCCGAGCCGGCTCCGCACCGCACCACAACTGCCCATTTCATGTGCTTTCATCTAAAGGCCGCCGGGGCAGATCGCCGAATTATGCAATGCTGACAATGTCAACTGTGAACTAACAATGGTGGGCGAATGGGCAAGCAGCGTGCAGTGCTCAACGGCCCTCGAGCGATTTGGACGGTTGTTCAGCGCCAAAGACAGAAGCAAGAATGCACCTGCCATCAACACCTCCCAGGCAGAAGTGGATAGCGCACCCATGAGTCAACCCTGCGTGTCCAGCAACATCCCCGTCGGCACTGCAGCCAAACAAGTCTTTATCCAATTGGCAACTTCTAGCTCGATCACAGCTGGGCCAACCACCTCGCCAATCGCCACATTCTCAACCCCAATCGCCAAAAGCCGCCATGGGAGGTCTGGAACCGTGGACCGTAGTACAAACCAAAGTAATCCTAAAACTCTTCGGGAAAAGAAGCCATGGAATTCGCCTAAATCATGGGCACCCGGGTGTTCGAAACCTAAATTCTATAATTCTGAAAGAATGGATCCGTTTTCAGGCACCCAAAAGCAGCGCTCTGACGCCCTGTCTCTGGAAATCGAATGGAACACGGGATTGGCTGTTTCTGAGCCCTTCGCCGCCTGCAGCCTCCCGCCAAGGCCGCCGCTCCCCTCCTGCCACCGGAATCGATTCCCGGCATCCGGCGCCGCAAACCCCGCTGATAAATTCAAACTCTCGCGTGCAGACCGGCCCACAAGCTGCAAGGGGACCTTTTCGTCTTCCGCCAACAACTCTTAAGCAAGCGTGTTTTCCAAACTATTCTAAACAGCCCATTCTAAGCAGAGAACAAATTTAATCAATTCTAAACACCCAATTCTAATCAAATGACAACTCTGAGCAGTGGGCCGGGCCCCGGTCACAGGCTCGCAAAGCTTCCGCACTCCGCCTTGTGCCGCCGCCAGTCCGCCTTCTGGCACTCGCGGCTGCAGTACGCGGCGCACTTGCAGCCGCGGCAGAACATGAACTCCCGCGGCATTGTCTCCTCCCTGTCGCAGGCGGCGTTGTCGCAGAACTGGCGCCACATGCCGTAGTTGCTGTCCAGCATGGCGATGCCGCTGCGGGCGACCTTGCGCACGGGGATGTGCCTGGACTGGGCGGCGATCCGAAGCTCCTGGAAGGGCATAAGCAAGGCTAGTTGCAACATACCACTTCAAGCACGCTTCAAACAAACGCTTTCAAAGGTTCATTGCAGGCATTTCCAAAGAGAAACAGGTGCAAAAGGGCAACGCATTATTACGTAAAAACACGTAAAAATAGCTAAACGCAGGCAGCGGCAACGCCGCTGTGCGTGTGGGACTCTTCTCCATGCCGTGAAAGATGGCGTGGAGTCTTGGTTCGGAAAGACGTAATGATGACGTGGGGTTTCGGTTCGAGGTGACGCAAAGGTGACGTGGAGTCTTAGTTTGAGATGGGGGGGGGGGCGGAGGGGCGTCGTGCTTCAGAGGTCGACGCGCTGAATGACCCAACTAAAGCGCTGCGGTGGCTCCGGTCTGCACCCAGAAAGGTGCATTTTTTCATTTACTTTGAAGCATCAATTTTCAATTTCTCCTTGTTTTCTTCTGTAAATTAAGAAGATATTGCTTGGTATTATTGGAGTTAACTCATTAATAGAACTCGCGATTGGTGACATCTAAATGCAATATATGTGGAATATGCAGCCAGGGGTTGGTTTATATGTGCTTATCTATATCTATTTCGATGTGCACTTGACGATCTACTGCAATATTCATTCAATAAGTCTTAAAATGGATGGAGTACATAACACGACGCGCATTCATTAGATGTTCTCAATGTTCATTTTAGGAGCAGAGGATCGAGAGGGTTGAGATTCACGCGATAAAAAGGGCGCGCGACATGGATCCCCCGACACTATGAGGCGTCATGGTCATCATTCACCCAGATAACAATGCTGGGCCCAGTCAAGGGAGCCACTCGCGGCCAGGGTCGTTATGTGCTCATTTACTTTCCGCAGAATGGAAAAATCAACATCAACGCAAATAAACAATATCATACGTGTCAGAAAAGCAAAAGCAAAATGACTTGCTTAGTCTCTCGTTTCGCCCTGGTCATATGGCCTCCGGCAGACAGTTCGATTGGATGGGTCCATTGCATGAAATAGACAAAAGCGATACCATGAACAAGTAAAACGCGCATCAAGCAATAACACAGTGCTTATCGACATGTCCCTTACTCTCTACACATCCAACATCCACCCAGTTGTCCATTCCTTGTTTTCCACCTTCACATTTAAACATATTGTTTGCCACATCTATCAACAACAATCTACGCAGCCGTCAGTCAATAATTCCATCTCCAATTCCAATTGAATTGCCCTTCAAGCCCCTGACTTCCATTCTTAAATCTGTCATTACTTCTGTCTTCAAGCAATTCACAAATATATCCTTAACCGCTATTGGATTACTTCATGAACTAATTGACTCACTGATAAACAAGAATGGCAATTTCACTGTGGCGCACGCCTCACTCACCCTGTTAAGCTCCTCCTCGATGACCAACTCATCCGGCGTCCTCCCCATTTATCGCCAGCTCCCACCATCCGCCAGTCGCTGTTCCGACCTGCGCACAGGCCACAGGCCATCACTGTTAACACATGCTGCGCGTGCAACCCACTCGGGTTGCAACCCACGTGTGTGCAATCAGTGCGGATGCAATCCCCACACAGGAATCCATGTGGGTGTGCCCCCTGCAGCCCACCTAGCCATGGAAGCCTGCTCCATTAGTGCTCCTGCCAGCCCAAGCTCAAAGTACTGCTCTAGCAGGTCGTTCGGATTCCCATTGAGCGACGTGAAGAGGTTGGCGGCAGCCAGGCACGTCTGGACGTCGCCGCCCTTTATCCGGCTCAGCACGCCGGGCGGGTCCTTTGCCACCGTCGCCATCAGGTCCGCCATGAGATCGGGGGAGGTGTTGGTGGGTCTGTGCACTGAGACCTCCGTCACCTGCCCCTCGGAAGGCACGGGTTCCCTGGCAGAAGAATAACCCATTCGGACCAATCAAGTCCTGATCCAGAACACAAACCGCAGTTCTCTTTGCTCAACATTGTCTTCAAATGTTGAAAATCGCATATCAGTGGTGTTCGCTGTGTTGAAAGTGGGACGAAGTTAGGGAGCTTTTGGCCTTTCATTTGGTGCTATTTTTGGCCAGTGGTTGGGGTGGAGCTACACAGATGGAAGCACAGGCTAGTGTGGCTGGCGTGCCTTGCGTGATTCAGACATAATAATTGGGGTAGTTTTGGTCGCGTTGCAAGCCTTCTAGGCAGGACACAGCCAGCAATTATTCTGAAGATGCATCTTTCAAGGGCTTTTAGGGGTGTCTTCTTTCCATTTCTGCAATTAGTTTGGGTCTCCAATCACGTTTTGAGTGTCTATTCACCTGGCGACTCCCATTCTTCTAAAAGCAGAGGGGTAATCCACAGAAACAACTGCATCTTGACCAGCGACAGCAGTAAATCCAACAGTCTGGCCTGGCACTGCGTCGTCTTACAAGGCTGCAATTGACCTGCACATCTTCTGTTGGGACAGGGTGGCACCCGATCTCTCAATTGTGAATTAGTCTTGGGTATTTTGATGCAACAGCAAGAAACAAAAGCTGGGAAGGTGCCTCATCTCTCAAATTGGGGTCCACAGCACAGAGCGAAACAAGAAACAGCACACACACCTCAAGGCATCTGTCTTTTGTGGCTCTGCTCTTGCCACCGACTCGATGGTGGGATACCACTCCACCACGCGCCGTACCACGTCCCACTCATCCGATTCCTCTTCCAGCACCAACAGCTCAGTGAAAGCCCCCTTCAGCCTGTCCAACTCCTCGCCTTCCCGATTGGCGATCACCACACCGAAATAGCCCCTCGATCCAGCATTCAGCAAGCCTGCAAGAACAACAAATGTGTCCTTATGGAGGCCGTACAATGACTCATCCTTCAGGATACATGTCATTGCTGAACTCAGATTATCAGACAGTTTCACAATTCCCCTGGTCCACAACATGGAGAACGATGGCAGATCTAAAGGGAAGTGGCACACAACCATGGACTGTTGGCATCTGTATCGGATCTTGGGTTCCTGTGACCACCACATGTAGGAGTAGGACATACAGGATGCACAGGATGTTCAAGATTTTCTGCTTCTAAGGCACAGGCCAGCAACGCCTGAAAAGGAGCAAGGGCAGTGCTACATAACAAAGGCAAGATGTCAGGTCGCTCATAAGCTGCCTAGAGATGTCAAAGCTCGCTTCTTTGCCACGGTTGCGGAGCTCTGGGCTGCAAAACGACAAGGACATGAATGTGCCTCTGCAGTGTGTTGCTCTCTTCGATGCACAGACAGGTGCAAAAGCACAACACATTGACTTGAAATAATGCTGCTCCACACGCAACGCAAGGAGCACCAGTGGCTCAACTCAGATCAGTTCTGCTGGCGATTGCCCGACAACAGGTTGTGTTCCTCTTGCGCACCTGAGAGGAACGCCTTCGCTCGTTTGTGGGGCTTCGCATCCCCCACATCTAGCACACAACACCCTGCCTGACCAGCCATCTCGATGACGTCATCAATGGAGCTGTAGCCGTTGCCGGCCATAGAGGTTCCCTGCTCTGTGCACTCCAGCACCTCATTGAGGACCGTGTCTGACAGGCCCTGAAGCGACAAAAAGTCAGATTTCCACTGACAGCTGGGCTTTGAAACTTACATTCTGTGTGTCTACCAGCTGTCAGTAAACGAAGGTCAAAATTAGCTGAAGGATAAGTAGTTCGACTTGGCAGTTTGACGAAGGTCAAAATTAGCTGAAGGATAAGTAGTTCGACTTGGCAGTTTGACGCGTAGCAGTTTGATGGCTGCATCTGTGCTGTGTTGTTGCAAGGCTGGATGTCTGTGCTCAGAAACGATTTGTGCTGGGTTAGTCCCAAGTCACGATAAAGTGGTGCAAGCCAGCTGCAAGCTGTGTGTTGGATGCTGGAAGCCAACTATCGATTTGATGGCACTGGTCAAAAGCTGGGTGCCAGGCATCAGACAGATGTCAAGATGTCAGATGTCAGCACTCTGCACATGCGCACTGAGGTACCTGGTACGGATGAGGTGCCGATATAGAGTTGTCTTAAGGCTTTTGGTGCAGGCATGCTGCAGCAAATCCAAAGCAGTCCAATGGATCCTATGGAAGTAAAAAGTCCAACAGTTTCCCACAGTGCCCTGCAGTCATTCTCATTTTGTGAACTTGTCCTGACTCAATCCCCAACCTGCCCCATTCCAGCCATTCGCTTGTGAAATGGCCACCCAAATAGTGAAGCCACCCACCTGTTGCACTGCAATGTTCCTCGGCATCTTTGTTTGAGGCGCGATTGACCCATGTCCATCCGAGATGGCAAGCACTGAGAGGTACGCATTGTATTCATGAGCCAGCTCATGGCGCGTTGTGATGATCTTGCGCAGGACCTTGCGACCAAGGCTGGAGGGGCCTGCGGACACGTTGAAGAGGATGACAGGGATGCACAGGCGGCCCGCATTGTCATGGAATGTGAAACCGATGGGTTCGGATGGCTGTTGGCTGCAAGGACAGGCTTTGGTCAGTGAACTGCACTTGGTGCAATTGGCAGCTGTGAATCGTCTCAACGCAGTTATATTCTGTCAACTTCTTTCCAAAATTTCCATTTTTAAACAGAAATCAGTTCCATTCCGCACTCCTTCTGTTCTGCACAAGGCTTGTGCAAGGTCAGGAGCTTTTACCGTGTTGTGAGGTATAATTCATACCCCAAGTGCCTTGTCCCATACTGTTCCGGGCATCGTGTAATGGTACACAGTACATACACAGTACAGTATAGATAACATACCATAATGTCCAAGTTCAATTCCCTCTTCAAAAGCACAGCTGTTGCTACTGTAGCTGCAGGTCCAACTTTTGAGTGGATAAGCAGCCCAACGATTCCTGTGAAGCCAATCGCATACACAGTCATGTGCGATGACAGTTGTCCACCGATGCACGTCTCCTGCAGAGGGAGACTTTCTGAGACCCTTTAAAACAATGTCAAACAGATGCAGAGGCATCTGAATGCTGCAAGAAAAGAGCACAACCCATTGTGCACTGAGAGCGGCTTCGTTGTGAGCTTTCACCCTTGCTTCGGCAGCTTTCGCATCACCTTTTATAGTAAAAAATACAGTCTAACCGTAGTTTGCACAGGAGGGAGGTGCCCACAGTCTGGTGCCATTTTTTCTTGTCACGTCAGATGATTAAATTGATGCTAACATCTGTGTATGAGTTTGCTTGCAAATTGACAGAGTTTGCCCGCAAATTGACAGATACATCAGAAAACATATTCTGCATCTAATCCGTTAATCTTATCTGCTGACCACATGTCTGCATGCCCATAGTCAGTGCAATAGGCTGCATGCAGCATGCATTTACAAGAGATGTTGGACTGACTCCCAATGACTTGCACTGGATTTTGGGCATTAATAGAGATCGTGTATCTGGACAAGCCTAGTGCAGCCTTATGCTTGGAATCACCTTGTAGGCTGCAAGGACTGTGCTTTGCCACGTTTTTGACAAAGGCCATCAAGGTGTGCCGACTGCATTGACCATTCTAAACATCCGGAAGCATGTAATAGTGTACAGCAATCAGCTGCCATAGACTTGCAAAGATGCAAGGGAACTATTTTGGCGGCACTTCAAGAGGAAACTCGCTGCAAGGAATGGAGCTGATGCCAATACAGGTTCCCATAACATGCCCATGGATTCGTAACGTGCAGCGCATGGATGTTATCCGGTATGTCCCCCTCTTTTCATGGAGCAAGTCTAAAGAATCTAAACGTATCACGCGCATCGACAAAAGCACTCCCTTGGCCATTGTGCATTGCAATTAGCAGCAATCTCCCAGTTGTCATATCGCATAAGGGTTATCGATGCATCCATTGCATTGGTCTGACATGTGTTAGGATGCATTAATTCATTCGTTGCTCTCTTTCAACCAACTTACTTTCCTTTTACTCTCTGATTTTGAGAACTGGGATGGCTGGCAAAGGGGGCCTTTTCCCCCTTCCCACCCCTCAACCTATGAACAAGTGAACCATCCTGAGGGCATGGGTATGTGCACACACACACACACACACACACCCGGCAGGCACAATTTAGAGCGAGGCCCTCGCCCGTGGATCGCCAGACACAGCGTTTGGCGAGCACCGGGAACACAACTGACAATTTCGGAAAAACGGGCACAACATCAGGGTACTCAGCATCACGCCTTGTGCCCGGCCCTGACAAGTCAGAGTGCCGTTTCACACGGAGAAGAACGTTTGAAGCTCCACCCCAACCCAAGGTGATGTTCGATCATAGCACCTAAGGCGGCGTCGTTCGCGCCCCGTCCTTTACGGGTGAAAGCAGTCCAGGAATGCTGTACCGTCCAACCCAAAGCGCAAGGCGCTCAGCGCCGGTGGGCATCCGAGCTCGCCCAGGGTGGCGAGGCGCACCCCAGCCTAGCTCTGCGAGCGGCCGCGCACCCGCAACGCACGGTTGGGCAAGGTTGACGATTGGGCGCTGCCAGGTGACAGCCTTCCACTGATTCAACCACGGACAGCTGCGGAGACATGTACGAGGAATGCGCCCGCGATGCGAACTGGACAAGGCCACGCGGAGCTCGAATCAGCGCCCTCGCGACGCGATCCGACGGCCGGCGGGCCTTCAACGCGGCTCGCGGCCACGCCAGCAGTTTCGGGTCCCCGTCCGCGGCGACGCATTTTCCACGCGGCCGCGACGGTCGCGATGCGCCCGCGCCCCGCGGGCCGCCCGGCCCGATCGCCTCCCTCGGTCGCAAAAACTTCCGTCGTCAATCAACCCCCGTGCGCCAGAACAAGAAAAAAATCAGAACAAGGAAAACTGTGCCACGCTGCGTCGCGTTGCTGTGGTCCGATCCTCTCAAGGCGTGCCGGTGACTCCCGGGACTCTTCCCGACGGACGCACCGAGGCCCGAGACGGAAAATCTCCGCGTCGCGCCGAGCCGCATTCAGCCGGCAGCGATCAACCGATCTCAGATTCTCCCGCAATTCCCACCGCGCCGTCGGCCGTGCCCACCGCGGGGCTATCCATCGCCATCCCGAGATCCGCGCCGAAAAGCCGCCCAACCTCCGCGGCTCCCTCGCCCCGCCCACCCGCCCCCTCGCCGCTGCCCCTCCGAATGCCGCATCATATCAACTCCGGACGAACATCCCGGGAAACACTTCCCGCAACCGACAAACCGGGCGCCAATCGCCAATTGCCGACGCTCATGCCCCGAGGAAGTTGTGTTTAAGTCCTGCGCTCGCCACAAGCCCGCTGCTAGACACGCGAAGTGCCCTCGCCGTGGTCACAGCGCTGGTCTTGTTGCAGCCAAATTGCTTCCCACGCCGATTGAATCACAACGAGATAGAACACGCCACGCGCCCTCCCTTCCTTCCATTCAAATCCCACCCCCAGCTGCCAATGCTCCCGGAGCCTCACTGGTCGGCCTTGCCGCGGCGATCCCCGCCCTGCTCCGGCTCCTGAGGGTCCATGCCCGCGATGATCAGCTCCTTGAACCTCTCCACCAGGGAGCCGCTCTTGGGCGACGCCGCCGCGCACATGGCGCGCAATCCCTCCCGGTGGGCGCCGCTTAGGGCGGGGCAGGAGGGCGGGCAGTGACAACGGGAGGGCGGCCAGGAGACGGAGCAGGAGGGCGGGGAAGTTGGGGCCGGTGGCCGCGTCTGAGGGCGTGGGAAGAAAGTACCACAGCCGGAAGGTCGACGGGCCCTTGGGACCGACGAGCGCGAGCACGTTCTCCAACATCAACATTGCGTTATAGTCGCCCGAAGCAGTTTTTGTTCCCCATTAATCGGACTTTTTTTTCTCGGTGTAGTTCAGCGTTTCCTCGAGTCCGCGCCGTGCGCGGTCCAGCAGGAGCGGGAAGCAACCACAGCGGCGTGTCCCTGGACACCTGCCCGCGAGACAGCCGCGGGCGTCCCGGGGCGTTAAACCTCGCCCCGCCAGACGCGCGTCGCCCCAGGTCAATCTCTCTCCCCCCCCCCTCTACCGGCGTCAATCGCTCTGATCCTCGCTTGCAATGTCCCTGGAGGCCTTCCTCGCCGACTGCCCCCCCTGCCCGCCCTCTCTGCCCGCCTCCCTGGCCGCCTTCCTCGCCAAGCACCGGTCCCCCGCCGATGCCGCCGATCATGGCGATCCCGGGTCGGCCTCGAATCGGCTCTCCCGGCCCCTGGCGGTCGTCACGTCGGGCGGCACCACGGTGCCGCTGGAGCGGCGCTGCGTGCGATTCATCGACAACTTCAGCGAGGGGCGGCGCGGCGCGCTGTCCGCGGAGCGACTTCTTGCGGCGGGCTACGCGGTGGTGTTCCTGACGCGGGCGGGATCGGCGCAGCCGTTCTCGAGCGGGATGGAGCCCGCGGAAGCGCTGCCAGGCCTGCTGGAGTTGGCTGCAGGTGGGACGGCGCTCGGCTCGGTTGCAATCGCTTATTTTCGTCTTTTCCTTGATGCCTCTCTGCTTTTTCTCTGCATTTTCTCGTTTGTTTTCTGGGTGACTTGGCCGATAGACGGGGTGGGCGAATGGCAAGGGACGCGCGCATGGCTCCCTTGCTTGCTGGAGGTTGCGCCGCCGATCTCTTTTTCCCAGAGAGATGACAGCCCAGTCTTGCACCCGTGAGCTGGCCAAAGAGGTGGAAGTCCGTTGTGCGTATGTCATTCGATCACGCTGCGTTTGCGCTTTGAGGGAAGGAGGTAGTCGTCAGCTCCGCTTGCAATCGGGAAAGGTGGCGTCAGTTTCAGTTGTGTGCTGGTTGGGCAACACCCCACATAGTTGCAGGAACGGAACCCAGGATCCAGGTTGGATTCACATAGTTCCCAGCGTCATGTTGCTCCATGAACTGCGAGCGCGTGGCGAGGACAGCCATTCAACCGTAGGTCACTCACACTGCGTGTTTTCACAGGTGCCGATTGTTTGTTGCTCGGCTGTTCCATCAGCTCTGCTCAGTTCAGCATTGGCATTTGGGTAAAGATTGTTTGTTCCAAAGGGAACAAAGGGTTGAAGTTGCCGATGAAAAATGGAGTTGGGCTTTGGGAGGGGATGTGCCCCTGATGGGAGGGAATCCTCACCACAAAGCAAACACTTGCAACTGGCCATGGTGTTTGCTTCCCTTCCAGCCGCTTGTGCGCTTTCCCATCAGAAAAGAAAAACGAAAGGTTATGAGCAAAACACTGAAACAAATAGACAAGCATTAGTATTATAGCAAGTAAGTGATTGATGCAAACTGTTTGAACACTCATCTGGGCGAATTCGGCACAAGCCTCAGCACTGAGCACTTGGATTTTGAGTCGCTTGCATTGACGCACTCATCATGGCACTCGCCTGGACTGGACATTGATGAGTAGACAGCATCCATTTGCTGACCTTCTGCAGCACCTCGCCACAAACAACGTGCCAGCTCCCGCATCAACAAAGCGAAGCAAGCGCACAACATCCTGCCCCCAAAGACAAGGAAAAAGAGATAGAGAGAAGATGAGAAGCAACAGAGAATCTTAACCGGCCTGTCCCTCTTGCAAGAAGCTGTGAAGGAATCCCTGCATCCCCCAGCCTTAATGAGGCCTTTCAGGACCTTCAACGGTGTTTCACCTTTAAACTTGTTCGTCATCACATTCGTGTCACAAGCTCACCTCTCACCCTGCAAGGGGAACTGTCACTGGCCCAACAAGTGGCCATTTTAATCAATCCATGCCATGTTTAGTTCAGCCCAAAATTCCTAAACCTGTTGAACTGCCAAGAATCGTGTATCAATGGTGCAAGCTGCCAGAAAATGGGCCACATCGTGTGTTGCAGGCCAACCTAACAACAGCACATGAACTATGTCAGCAACTTTTGTGTGATACTGTATGTCAGAGACTTTTAATGCACTGTAGTAGTATCATTAATCTTATCCGGTGCCGTTCTCTGCCAGTGTGTTGAAACGCACCCTCGCCCCAGACGGCTCTGTCCAGGTGCGCCCCTCGCGCCAACCCGACCTGGGCCCCCTCCTTGCCAAGTCGGAGGCTGCGCGGCGCGCGGGGGCCCTCCTGACCCTCCCCTTCACCACGCTCTTCGACTACCTCACATACCTTAAAGCCATCGCGGATGCTGTGGCCCCCTACGGACCCCAGGCTATGTTCTAACGGCGCCATGGTGAGCCTGCTATCCCATAGCGAAGCGGAGCTGCAGCTGCGCCTTCCGCGCAGCAAGGCGGCCAGCTCCTGAGCCTCAGCCGCCCAAGCTGGAGACGGACGAAGGCCTGCTGATGGCCAAGGCGGGGGCTGCATTGGAAAGGTGCGGCGTGTGGGCTTTGGCGAGCGGGCTGAAGGCTCTCGCATTCCAGGGCGCTTTTCTGTCAGTGACAGACTGTCACATAGTTTTGTCCTGTGTGTAGAAACTTTTCTTGTTCCAGAGAACTTTTGATGCAGAGTTCTGTCCTGCAGACTGAAGCCCTCTGCATTTCCAAGCACTCTGTTGCTGCGGAGTGTTGCGTCGCGTTTTGGGGTCAGGGTTGGGTCCCGTTCCGATGGAGGGGATATGGACCCTGCGCCAGCTCACAAGAATGTGCAGGCTGATGCTGTGTGGTCGTCACAAATGTCCCGTGCCCTTCATTTCAGGACATGAAGGCCATTTTCATATCTTTTACATATTTTGGTTAGGTTTTAGGTTCTCAGTGTTCTCATGCCCTTCGTGACCTTCATGGCCCCTTCATGACCTTTGTATCTGGAAATGAAGGGTGTCGGATACCCTTGTGGTCCTCTGAGGGCGGGAGAGTCTCATACCGCCACCAGTGTCCCATAATTTCACGTTGCGTGCACAGCACAGTGTGGCATCAATGCGGATGGACAGAGCATTGGCAGCGGTAGTGCAGCTGCATTGACATGTTTGTACATTTCCGTACTGTTGCGTTGCGTTCTTGTGCCAATTCTTTATATTCGCTGTTTTTGTGTTTCTTGTTTCCATTGTTGCATTGTATTGGGCTTCCCGCTCATGCTGCTCGCCCCAACGCAGGTACGATGTCCATGCCGTGGTGGCCAATGTGCTCGACACCAGGAAGGACACCGTAGTGGTCGTCACAAAGGGACAGGACGGTGCGGGCCCCAAGGCCCACAGGATAGACAGAGCTACCCAGGAGGAGCACATTGAGGATCAGCTGGTGGCGACGATCGCGCAGATGCATCGGGACTTTGCAGACCAGATGCAGGACAGGTGACGTCATTTGCCGGCGTCACGTGCCAAGGCCTGGGCACTAGTAAATAGTACTAGTTTAGCTGGATCCAGATTCATTAGTTTGGTTGGATTGCCAATCCAGTACGAGTTTAGTTGGCTTTGGTTTGGATAATAGTTTAGCTTAGCTACAAGCTAGCGCTAGTTCATAAACTAGTGACCTAGGATGGCGTGGCAAGGCCAACAGTCAGAGTCACGTCGGCCGCGCATGTGGGCGCCGAGTTGTTGCCAGCAATGCAATGCGTTGAGGGCCCCTGTAGCTGCGAGGCTGCTTCGGGTACTGTACCGGGCTTCTCAGCGCCCCGAACGTGTCCGGAGTGGTCCTGTGACGGCCATTCTGGTGGGAACAGCGGCCAGAGTTGGGAGTGCCGAGTAGGTGCCTTCCTCAACGCCGAGGGCCCATCATGTCAAAGCACCACACCATTCAAATATTCAGCTGCAGCGTGTGTGAATCCAAGCCGGTTTTGCTTGCGAGTTGAGGGTGAATTTGCGCCTTTGCACCTCTCAGACGATGTCCAGCATGGCAGTATGTCGTGTACAGCCGCCAAAAACCACGCGGCTCGGCTGACTGGACGCCTTGGAGCAGCGAAGGCTGATTCGGCGGTGGGTGCGTGCGAGTGCTCAGCTCGCGCTCGCCAGTCCTGCATTGATTTCGTTTTGCCTCCCGTTTGCCTGCACTGCACGCGCCAACAGCTCATGGGCTGGTTCCGAGCACATGTGGGGCAGTGAGAGGCGGTGTTTGCACCTTGGATGTTTGTTCCCGGAGTGACCACATCAAGCCAGGCTTGGAAACATTGCCCGCTATTGGAGACTACTGGCAAGAGTGCCGTAGGGGAAGCGACATGCTCGTCTCAAAGGCCTTTCTTTGTGCGCGTGCGCCGCTTCCATCACATGCCTAACTTGACTGTTGGAAGCACCGAGCATCGTCCATGGTGCCAGAGGTCAACAACCCAACCACAAGACAAGCGTTTCGAGAATGTCGCAGGCTTACTTTCTAGGCTTTCCTTTGGAAAGCAATTCTGCGGTCGTGACCTGCGTGTGCCATTTCCTCTGTGACTGCCGCATGCGCCACATGGGCCTCATTCATCAGGTCCTTCTCTTTCGGTGTACGATACGCACGCACATGACACAGTCGTACACGATACACCGTATCTGCGGGGTTCGGTCTGAGAAGTGGAAGAAGGGGTGGGGGGGTACTTGCACGACAAACGCAAAAACGCAAAAACAAAACGCAAAAAAAAGGGTGGGTGGGTACTTGCACGCCAGTACACTGTGGCGTCACACACCGCAGTGCACCGTTGATGCATATGCCTGCATGCTTTGCTTTGCACTCAGCCCTCCACTCAGAAAACCCATCTCCGCCTTCACCCCGCTGCTGTGGGCCGCGCCGCGCATTTTCGCAGCCCCTGCGCCGCGAGGAGAAAAGAGAAGAGAGGTGGGCGCAACTCCGCGGAAGGGCGCGCTCAAGCGCGCTCTTGCACCATTCTGATCGGAAGCCCTCGCGCCACTTCGTTGCATCCCACCCCGCCATGACAGACACAAACGGATGCTCCCCGCTCCCCGATCTCCACAATCTTGGCCCCGCCGCTGTCCCCCCCTCCTCGATCTCTGCACATCCCCAGGCCTTTTGTCGCGGTGATGTTCCTGTTCCCTGCCTCTCGCCTTTGGCGCTCGCGATCGACGCAACAAAAATGGTGCCAGAACCGCGGTGGCCACCTTCCTGGGGTGGGCAAGCCCGGCTGGGCGATCCGTCCGAGCGAGATGGATGCTAGGAGGGGTTATGAAGCATCGTGGCTGCCACCGCCGTTGACCGGGGTCAGATGGTCGCGGTGGTTCAGACGTGTCGCGGGCCCTTCGGGCCGGAGTAGGATAATTGAGCGACTCGACGCAAACCGCAGCGATGGCGGGCGGCGGACCGGGGACGGCCCCGGGCACGGCTGGAATGTGTCCAGATTCTATTTCCAGCGCCCCTGTCGTTGGGTCTTTGGAAAGAGATGCATATCCCAAAATGGAGGCGATCTTGTGTGAGAGGGGCTGGTGCGCCGGATTGCGCTGCTCGCAGCCCGCGAGATGCAGACGCTAGGGAATTGTCTGCGTGGGATTTCGGCTGCACGTTGTGTAAGTCCCTCCCGCGCTGGGGGTATGCAGCGGGCCACCGTGTGTGGCGGTGCAGTTTCCACTCCTGGGGCCTGTCGCCCTACAAAAGTTCCGGAAGAGGATGACTGCCAGGAAATGGGTATTCCGCCATGGTACCTTCGCGGCGGTACATAAGATCCCACATCATGTGATGCGAAACTCTGGAAACATGTTTGCAGCAAGCGAGGATGTGGACCTGAGAATGTTCCCAGCACCAATCAAACATCCCCTTCCCGTGTCCTGTCTCTTTTCATAGGTGGACGGGATGGGCTTGTCCCCTTTGCTGGGAAGCCAGTTTTCAACCAGTACCATCCTAACTTTCGTTGCATGATTGTGTCCCAGAGACTGGGCGGCAGGTCGCCAACTCATCGTCGAGTCACCCGACAGGCAGCAATGGCTGAGGTTTGTTCTTCCATCCTGCCCTCGCCCTGGGGCCACCCTCCTGCGTTCCGTCTTGAACCACAGGCCAGACGTCGTTTGTACACCCTCTTATCCTGAATATGTGCAGGGCTCAGCATTTGCACCTTGTGCGTGCCCTGTCCACAGAATGACAGCAATTGGCAGATTGTCCTTGTATGCATCTGGCGTGAATGTGACGGTTGATGAACTTTACCTGGGCCTACACCAAGGGGTTTTCCCTCGGTGCCTTAAAACTGTGTTTCCTCGTTGCCTCACTTGGGGCTGTTCCACTGGCCCCTCGCCTGCGCACAAATTTGACCTGGTCAAGCCAGCCTCAGAGACCTGTTGGCCATGGCCGTCCATTGCAATGGTTCACACCACTTTTCGCCTCTGGAAAGTGCAGCTGGGAAATGGCTTTGCTGGCCTTCTCAGCAGATAGATGGCGCTGGTGTGGTGTGAACTCTAGCCAACCCTTGCAGCAAAAATGCAGCGGCCTCCAGCAGACCTTGGTTCTCTGCATGCAGACATTTGCTGCAAACCACTTGCTGGGGCAAGGGCCCTTTGTCACTTCTAACAATGCAACCAAAGGATGCTCTCTGCTCTCTGTGTTCCAGGATGCAGCTGACCTCCCTGGTGATTGGGCCACGATGCCTGCGGACCTGCTCGACAGAATCAAACAGATACTGGACGCCAGTGAGGGGCGAGCATGGCAGATGACCAAGCATGCACGGCTCGTCAACCGACACTGGTGCAGGTGGGCCACCCCAAGCCGGAGTGAGCTGAACAGCGCTGAGCACTTTAGCTTCCTGAACACTGAGAATTGTTGAACAATTTAGGTTTCACTTGCTCTCACCTTCTGCCTTTGTTAATTTAACATTTGAATCACTGCCGCTGAGTGCAGGTGGGCTGCTGCTGGCTGGGCTGAACCGAACAGCACCAAATGCTGCAATTTTCTGAACACGTTTGATGTCGCTTTATATTGCATTTCTTGCTGCCACACCTTCTGCAATTGTCATTCTAGCAATCAGACGACTGGCGCTGGGCACAGGTGGGCCGAGAAGGCCATCACCTCCGTGGAGCCGACCAATGTGGTGTCCCTGGACGTGGTGGTGGACCGCATCGCACGCACCTTCACTCGGGTACGCTGCCTGAAGCTGCGGCGGGCCCAGGGGCCCGGGGATGGCGGCCTGCCTGCCCTGGAGCGCATCCAGGCCACCCTGCGGGCCCTGGACATGAGCAGCTGCTCCCAGATGACCGATGCTGGGCTTGAGTGCGTGGGGCGGCTGGCTGAGTTGACAGATCTCAGTGTGAGGCTGTGCAAGCAGAAGGTGACGGAGGAGGGGCTCATGCACCTGGGCAGGCTCACCAACCTTGCAAGCCTGGTGCTGTGTGAGTGCGTGAGCGTCAGCGATGCCACCCTTGAGTCGTGGGGGGGCCTGCAGCGGTTGACACGGCTGAGCATGGCGCGCTGCGAGCGGATCACCGACGAGGGGCTGCGCCACCTGGGGAAACTCGCCTCACTGACGCAGGTGCGTGCAGTGTTGTGGCTTTGATGGCGTCTGTTGGCTTGTTGATGCTGTGCATCCGGATCTGTGTTTGGCAAGGAAGTCTCTCGGGCAGGTAGGCAGCTGTCTTGGCAACCAGAACGTGTTGTTAAGATGGCTCACCCAGTTAGGCTGGCAAGGGTGCAAGGCAGAATTCGCTCGTCGAATTGATTCATGGTTTTGTATGCATAGCTGAGTTGGGCAAGCACATTAGCCACACTGTGCAGTTATAGTGCATGCTCAGGACAGAGGCATGCCATTTCCCATTCTTGAGAATACCAGGAATCCGATTAGAAACAACAACAACAATTTTGAGCCACGTATGCAGCTCCCCAGCCATCTGTCAGACGATGCAGGGCATCCGATGCCATCACTAATTCTGTGTTCCTACCCCTTATGCTGCCCAATTGCCACATCCCCCCTTGAAATTGGAGTTTGCCTGTTTGCCACGCTGTCTACACGCAGATCTCCATGCTGCAGACAGATGCATTCTTCCCTTTGTGCAGGTCCGGCTAAGCGTCGCGCACCGGCCCTCGGGCTCCGGCCTGGAGGAATGGAGCTCGCTGCGCTCCCTCACCCAGCTCGAGCTGCCGTCCTTCCGCGGCTTTGGCAGCATGGCCCTGCGGCACATGTCCATGTGCCCTGGCATCGCCACCCTCACCCTCTCCGACTGCCGTCGCATCGAGGACAGCGGCCTAGCCAGCCTGCGGGCCCTCAGGGGGCTCACCTCCCTGGACCTGTCCTGCTGCACCAGCATCACTGACGTTGGGCTGGAGCACCTCGGCAAGCTTGTGTCCCTCAAGACGCTCAAGCTACTGTGCTGCAGCAACATTACGGATGCGGGCCTGAAGGACCTTGGCCGCCTGACGCGGATCACGGAGCTGGACCTCACCCTGTGCAAGAACATCACCAACGCCGGGCTGTGGAACCTGGGCAACATGACGCGGATGCGCAAGCTTGACCTGTGCTGGTGCGGCCACATATCGGACATGGGCCTCAAGGTGCTGGTGAAGCTGGCGCGGCTGAAGGTGCTTGACTTGTCGTGGGCGCCCAGCCAGGGGGCCCAGGCGCTCCAGGCGCTGGTGGACGAGGACGGGGACGTCACCATTGTCAAGAGGCCAGTGGCGTGATTGTAAGGACGCTAAGTTAAGGAATGTTCAGGACACTAGGTCAAAGTGTGTTAAGGACACCAGGGCGATGTAGCTATGCGCCGTGACCCACCGTTGCAGTGGTCGGCTCCCCCACCCCGCGCCCACCTGGGCAGGCAGTTTGGACGGCCGTACTGCGTTGGGGAAGCATCTGCGGCAGCGAGGAGGCGAGCATGGTGCTGTGGAGGTAACGAGTGGTGCTGTAGAGGCGGACAGGTCATTGCGAGGGCGGGCGTCACAGGTTTGGGGTGTTGCTGGCTAAAAGGAGGCAGCCCGTGCCAAGTTGAGTAACGGAGAAGCTGGGACAAGGTTTTGATTGGGCGATGTGTTTTTTTTTGCCATCAAGGCGATGGGCTCGTCTCACTCACGGCACGCAGCTTCAAGGCCTGCCCTTCGTGTGAGTTGGTGCGTGTGTCGACAACAATTTGGTTCCAGATGTTGTGGGGTCTTTTGGCAGGTCCTGCTTGCCGCTATCAATGAATCTATTTGATAGTTGAATCGGTTTCTTACAACAAACGTTCGTGCAACGTGCCGCACCATCAACTTGGTCCTATTTTATTGCCAGCCCTAAATCAATAAATTTGGTGTACAAATGAACAGGTGCAATTCTACACACTCCCTATGTGTGCACCATTTCGAGATCGGCAGCCTTTTACTGACGACATTTCCACTCCCATGCATAAGCCCGTAGCAAATGCATCCAGATGTGTCCACCTGTGCTTGTCAGAGTAAAAGAATGATGAATCCCAAGCGACCGTTCCTCGCTTGTCTTTGCAAGCTGATCCCAAATTCCAATCCCCCCAGTTCGCCCTCCCTTCTGGAGCACCAAAACATCCTCGTGCCGCCCCCCATCCCTCGTGTCCCCCTACTGTCCAGGGCCTGGCCTGATGTCCAGACGTTAGGGGCCAAGGGGGGTCATTGCATGGCCCCCCCTCAGTCCATCTTGGACCTTGTCACCAAGACCACGCCCGCCATGATGCACACCGCCCCCAGCGACCCCACCAGCGTGGGCACCTCGTCAAGGAACAGCGCCCCAAAGGCATACCCGAAGACAAGCTCGCTGACTCTTATGACTGCGGCCTGCGTCGCACCGGACAGCTGCACGCCCCTCGTCAACAGCAGCTGCCCAGCGATCATGCTCCCAGCGATCCCGACCACCAGCAAGCCCTCCACCGCCGAGAAAGTCGCCACTGCGGGCTGGGGGTACCCCACAAGGGTGGGGACGATGGCCACGCAGAAGGTGGCAGCGTGGAACCAAACGGTCACGGTCAGTGGCGACACGTCCTTGCCGATCTTCACGATGAGCAGGAGGCCAATGCTCACGCCGATCGACGCACTGAGGCTGCCGCAGATGCCCAGGACCCTGTGTGTATCCCACTTGACTCTTCCCCCAAAAAGGAAGGGGGGTTGGGCCACCAGGGCGGTGCCAGCCATGCAGGCAGCAACGCCCACTCCCTTTTGCCAGTTGAGCCGCTCCATACCCTGCAGCCAGGTGAACAGGGCCGTGAACGCGGGGTTGGTGTAGAATGTGGCCAGGGCGTCGCCCAGCGGCAGTATCACGATCCCCACGTAAGCCAAAACGAACACGCCAGCACCCACAAGGCCGCGCAGGGCCAGGAGGGGCATCTTGGCCCTCGGACCCCAGATGGGGGAAACATCACAGGCGTAGGCCAGACCCAGGGTGGCGATGAGGGCGATGGCAGCCTGGAGGGCAGTCACTTCGAGCATGGGGATCTCTGACCCAAGGACTTTGGCAAAGAGGGCGCCAAAGGCGTAGGCAGAGGCGGAGAGCAGGACGCAGCCTGCCCCCGACCTCCAGGCTCGCTGCTTCACACTGCAGGGGAGGCATGAACTGCATCAGGGCAGAACAGGACTGGAGGCGGAACGAGCAGAACGATGTCATACGATTGGCAGCCCCTCTCCAGCTGTAGGGTTGCAGTGTCCCACCGCATGGGTATGCAGAGGTCCCCAGAGGGGTAGGTGAGTGGGCACAGCGACAACAGTGTTCAGCGAGAGCATAAGTGACGCGTAGGTTGATAGCAATAGCATTGAGAGGAGCACACTATCGTAGACGGGTGTTGAGAGTGCAATCTGAGTGCAAAAAGTGACTTGTTAACCATTGACCAGCCAGCGGTCTGGAAACCACGCTTCTGTGTGTGCGTGCACTGGATTTGGTGCAACAAAAGACAGCTGAAGGTTAGAGGGGCTGGTGACAAGTGGCCGATGGAACTTCAGCAGGGACTAAGGGCGTTTGATCACGTCTCCACGTGTGGTGGTGGTGTGTGGGGTGTACATATAGCGTGTGCCGGCCACACTGCAAGTGCATGTGGAGCCCAATGAACGCTGTGCGGAAGCCTGCAGGTGCCCCAGTATGTGCTTCGCTGTGCGGCAAGCGTGCCGGCGATTGTTTGCAGACTTTTGAAGCAACGTGAGAACGCTTGCACAGAACGCGAAAGAGCAGTCACGCGAACAACGTCATGACTGGACAACCGGCCGCCCGGGGTGTGCCCCGGCGACAACTAGCTGGCACAAATGGCCCGTGTTGCATTGAATTTGGTGGCGCGGGGCGCTGCGTTGTTCGTTTTCTGTACCGACTGGAAAACGACCTCAGCGCCCCAGTGGTGCAAATCGCCCTCCCCGGGGCCCGCCAGGCCTTTCCTCGCACCCACAACCAATGGGCCAATCTTGCTCGCCAGTCGTGCGGAAGACGCCCCTTTCCCCTCCCCACCCCCCAACCCCCTCCAACTTCCGCTCTTGCCACCCCCCGGCGACCGGGTTCGCCTGCGGTGTTGTGTGACCCCCGCCCCACCTTGCGACGGCTCACGCACAATCGCCCGCGGACCATCTCCCACAGCACCCAACACAATCCTGCCAATTTGCTGCCATGGATCCAACCGCCCAGCACACGACAGGCATCCTTCCAACCATTCTCTCCCAGATCGCCCAATTCCAGCCCGCTCCCTCGCGGCTCCCCCCCCCCCTCCCCCCTTGAGACACCACATCATCTTTCACAGTGCGAACAAGAGACTCGAAAACATTTTCTCAGGAGGAGGGGGGCCCCTTTGTGCGACCTGTCTCTTCCCTCTGTAACTTCAAATCTTACACTCCCCAGTTTCTCCCCGTGCGTCGCTTCGTGCAAAACTCACCGGTCCGGCCCAGGCGCCTCCGCCTCCGGCGGTTCAACCTCGCCGCCGTGCATCCCATCGATCAGGCGCTCGAGCTGCTGGTCCTCCGTGTCGAATGCCGCCAGCCCTTCCCGCCCTGAGGCCGCGCGCGGCGGCCCCATCTGCGGATCGCCCGCCGGCCGAATTGGCGAGAAGGGTGGTGGGGAGGGATCGCGTCGAAAAAGGATGCGGGGCCGATCTGGCGTCAGCAAAAGGGGTGGGGGCCCGGGGGAGGGGAGGGGGGCGGGGCGAGGTCTCTGCGCCTGTGTGTGGCGCCTGTGGGGTCGGTGTGGGCAGGGGGGATGGCGAGAGGCCTGGGGAGTGTGAAGCGGAGGGGGTGGGAGGAGATTATGTTGACTGTACTGTCATCGCGTCATCGGCAGTTTCTAGGAAACTTCCGGACCTCAGTCCTGTGAAAGCCCGGACGCAGCCTTGCTGTGTACGCCGTAAAAACTGATCGTGTTTACGTTTTTACTCGTGAAACCGCGTGACAATACGTAACCACAATGTAAATACAGCCCCTTGTACACAAGGACAGTACATACAGCCTTCGGTAGTCCGGGGAGCTGCGGCAGCTAGATGCGTTGGAATGGGCAGAAAACAAACTTTGTTCCACGCTGTCCTGGCCCTTGCCAAGTGCGACGCTGTGTTGCGAGTGCTCGAGGGGCGGAGGACTGACCATTGTACGTGACTTTGATCGTGTAACCTGGGTGTAACAACGGGCCTTAAAAACGTGAACACAACAGTAAGAATAGCCCCTTTGCAAATTTGCTTTTTTGCAAGTGAAAATGTTAAATTTGTCGTTAGTAATTGGCCTACGTCACCCAATGACGGGCTCATGACCAACAAAAGGCGACTCACTGGGTGTCACCACACCGTAGACCAGTCAGCTTTACATGGACAGCCGCCCAACGATGCAGAAAAGCGAGAGGCACGCTGAAGTATCCGCACAGTATTGGTTAGTAGTGAGCAAGCATGGCCAGCCCGTTTCTGGGGATCAAGAGGAAAGGAATGACATGGAGACATTGAAAAACGCTCAAAGGCAGGCTTGGTTTTTACGTTTACGTTTACGTTTCCATTTACGTTTTTACTTTTATGTTGTTACACGTAAAAACGTAAATTTGCAAAAGGACCTATTTCTGCGGCTATTTTTGCGTTTTTACGGCTACTTGGAACACCCAGGTTACACAATGAAAGTTGCGTACAATGATCAGTGCTGCACCATCTCCAGCACCCGCAACACAATGTCCACCTCGCCCTTGGGAAGGGCGTTAATGGCATGTAACAAAAACTCGTTTTCTGACCCTTCCAGGGCGTCTGGCTGCCACTCTCCGGACTCCATAAGTCTGTATGTGCTGTCCTTATGCACATCGGGCAGTTTTTACGTTATAGTTACGTATTTTTACGCATTTTTACGCATAAAAACGTAAATACGATCAGTTTTTACGGCGTTAAAACCAAGCCTGCTTCAAAGGTCACACAGAAATGCTTCTCATACTTTTAAGGAGGCAATTTGCGGCGTGAAGGACCATGCAAAAATGGTCCAAAAGCAGCGCTATAGAAGTACGAGATAGGCTGGTTAATGAAATTGTCAAAAACCTACGGGACACGCTGCAGAAATTTTCCCAAAATGCAGCTAGTGTGGATAGAAGCTAGACTAGAACATTATGCGTGATACTGCAGTTATGAAAAGAAGGAAAAGGGGAGCAGGAGGTTAACCAAATTTTGAGAAAATACAACACGTATGGTGGCAGGTCTGTGCAGTAGTTTTGGAGACAATCCACACTAGGATCTGTGAAAGTGAAGGTGAAATAGCTTCTGAAATATTGCATACGTTATTTACCCGGTATTAGTAGGCGTGTATTGGACCCCAAATTTGAGCGGTGGATACTAATAGTGGGTCATGAATACTAACATGGTTTAGACCCCCGATCCAAGGAGTAGACAAGAAAATTTTTGAAAAATAGGTGGTGAAATGCCCCAAAATAGGCTTTAAAAAATGCAAGATGCAATACAACAACAATCACATCACCAAGTCAAAGTCACAAAATCCCAACCAAAAATGCAGAAACGCACTCACAATCAATCGCTGTCAACATCCATATCTGATGCAAAGCCATCAAAGTCCTCATCAACACCCTCCGAATCCTCTCCCAAATCATCAGATCCTGCCACCAACGGATCCTCAACCTCGTGCAGTGCATTCCTGATATCATCCACAACATTCTGCCACATATCTTCACTACATGCAATGAGCTTGCATGCGCGAAAAGCATTCTGAATAGTGCTTGGCTGAATGGCACCCCAAGCCCTCTCAATCCACTGACACACCAGCCACAAAGGTGGCGCCCGCAGATTGTTTTGATTTGTGTATGAATGGTTGGCTCGATCTGCCATCCACTCATTCCAATATCCTCGCAAGTGACCCTTGAACACTTTGTTGACCCCAACATCCAATGGTTGCACCACAGATGCACAACCACTGGGAACAATCGCAATGTGGGCCCTTGCCTGCCTGTACATTTTTTTGACTTCAAAATCCAAATGCGATTTGAGACTGTCCATTGTAAGAACTGTGCGACCTGTACGGAAAAACAACCTGGAGTGTTGGTAAGGTAAATAGTAGCGATTGAACCATGTCCGCATGCCCCCAACATCTATCCACACTTTCTGATGACATGCGATCTCCACACCTGCTGGCCATCTCCCCCCAATTGGTAATCTAGGCAGCTTGCTGTTTTTCCGCTTGAGAATGACAAGGGGCTTTGCTTTGCACCCTGAAGCACTGCAACAAAGTACAACACTCACGCGACTCTTGTGATGCCCTGTGGTGCGCACATTGATGTGATGGGCACCCTTGGTGTCCACACTAAATTCATGGGGCATATTCAAAAAGACAAGAGTTTTGTCCATATTGTCCAAGTGATCATCTCCCACATCAAGCTCTTGGCACAGTTTTTTGGTATATTCCTGGAACTCTTCCATTTTTGGTGCAAGGTCAGCAGGCAACTTCTGTGGGCAAGAAGTCCTTCTTCTCAGTGCCAAGCCAAATCTGATACGAAAAGTCTGTGGGTGTGGGGTTCCTGCCCTCTTTGAGCCGCGGACCCACCTCGCCGGGCACCTAGGTCCTTACAGGGTACCTAGGCGGGACCACCCCTCCTACTCCCATATCCATATAAGTATAATGGTTACCGTGGGACAAGGAATACAATACGATCTTGGGCAGGGCGTCCCCCACACCAAGGACCATTAGTAGGGCGTCCCCCACATCAGGCCGGTGCGCGTAACATTCGTCCCCCTCAGGGAGTGGGGCGTCCTCGTCCCAATATGTGGATATGGGAGCAGAAACTTTATGTGCATGTGAATAGAACTGGCTGTGCGATTTGCCACATGCCCAGTTAGTATACACTATACAGTTAGTGGTGAAGAGAAAGAGTGGTTGTTTTTACATGACCTTCTGGTCTTCACAACCCTCATTAAAACTCTTCCTCAACCAAATGGCTGGAATGTTCGACCTCCCGGCCTATGATCTACGACCCCTAGAGTGGGAACCACCAAACGCCCATGCAGGGGTGCGCCGGCCCGGTGCGGGACCTCGTCCTCGCCCGCGGCCACGCACATGCACAGCTCCACGAGGTGCCAGCACGAGCGGGTCGTCAAGATCCAGTCTTTCTCCATTCAAGATCGCAACGGACATAGCGTTCATGTGTCCAAATTGCGTCTTGGCACGGGGGGCGGTGTACCCAGTATTCTTCTGAGCCCATCTCAGAAGAACCTGTCAAAGCATAGTCACACATGAGCATGTCTCAGTATGTACATCCCATACTTTATGCAGTTTGCATTCGCATCACAAGTGTTCTGCCATTTTCAAATGCTTGAACCAGTTCCTGTGCATTTGCAACTGACTTTGCTGATTCCCAGCTATTATGCTCATGTCCATACCCCAGCCATTTGACAAGGTACTCAACATAGTTTTTGCGTCTCCCACGCTTTTTAATTCTTTTGTCAAGGATATGTTCAACTTCATACTCCAATTCACCTTCGATCTCGATAGGTACTGGGGGTGGTTGTACTCTGCCACTTGCCTTATAAGGCTTGATTTTCGACACATGAAATACTGGGTGTATCCTATGCATGCTTTCCGGGAGTTCTAGTCAATATGCGACAGAACCTATCCGGTCGAGGATGGTGAAGGGCCCAATCCACCTCGGTAATAATTTTCGAGTTCCAGGGTGCTTGAGGGTGATATGTTGTGTCGAAAGGAGGACGTCATCTCCTTTATTAAATGACACATCCCTCCGATGGCGGTCAGCATGCTTCGACTGCCTATCTCGTGCTTTTTCCAAGCACGCCCTGGCCTCTTTCAGCGCTGATTGGACACGGTGATCAAATCGTGTCACTGCTGGTAATCCCTCCACGAGGGGTATACCGTAGAGGTGGCCACACTCGGGTACCGTCCGCTCCGTTGCGTCCGGTTCGTAAAAGTGAGTGTGATATTCGTCCGGTAACATCCGGTCCGCTGTTTGCCGTACTGCCGTCCGCAGAATCCGGCTCTCACTTTTTCTTCACCGTTATTTGCCGTTAAATTAACGGAGGGCGTGCGCGGCGTCCGGTCCGCGACAAAACATCCGCGGATTCATAATTTTGGTCCGTTCTGTCCCGTAGGTACTTGCTTTCCAGCCACGGCAAGGTCAAGGCGAAGTTGCCAGGGGTTTCCATTTTGCAGCAGCTCGAATTGTGTTGGTTGCACGCTTCATAAACGTGTGTGGGCGTTTTCCAGGTCATGTATTCTGCGGTTTGTAATACATGGAGTGTTTTGGTCCAAAACAGTTCTCCAGGAGAACTGAACAACACACAAGCCGTGTGTAAAGTTCCAGTGTATGGCATGCCAACCTGCACCACTTGCTGCGGCTGGTACTGCTGCATAGTACGCAGTGCGCACCACACTCCCATTGCAAGTCTTCCCGGCCATTGCAGCAAAGGTTCGGCATAGTTGCAATACCAAACGCGGACACACAAACACCCACATCACTTGAGGCAAGTGGCAAAGAGGGTTCACCTCTGAACACAGTTGAGCCACTCAACATACTTGGGAATGGGTGATACGTATCACATATAACGA